CTGATTGGTCGTACCGATTTAGGGTGTGGGTCTCTCCTACCCACACAATTACTGAACCTCGTCTTTTTGACATCTTGTGAGGAATAAGTACAAAGTTTCAATTCAATATATGAGATTCGATGTCAATAAAGACGTTAATTATCATTATTATTATCATTAATTTTCCCTAAGGTTGCACTAGTCGGACCCTATCTCAGAAGCCTCGACACCTTCGTGAGGGCACGCCAGTATTATCAACCAATGACCACTCCCCAACTCCGTGGAATAAGTGATCATTGGGTCCGCGTCGATGGATCGGTAGACGTGGCGAAATGAACTGGCCATTTCGTTGTTGCGATCTAACTCCACTGGACCTTGCCAAGATGACAAGGTTGTCTGCATAAGCTTGCAGATCTATTTTTCTTCTGTCGAGGGCAACCCCTGGTGACCTTGAACTTAAAGGTCTCACCTTAAAGAGTCTTAGTTGCAGTTCTGTTTACCAGCAAGGCATAGATCCAGCCAGTTAATGTCGATTCTATATCTTTCCTAGCCAGAGACGATCCTATAGATTTAGGTAGTGCATTGTCATATGTTCCTTCAATATCAAGAAATACAGCAATCTCCTTGTTGTCGAAGGATTGATAGATTTTCTCTACAAGGTTGTTTAATGCTGAATATGTCGATTTGCTGATTTGATAAGCATACACATGAACGATGTAAGTCTGATTGGTCGTACCGATTTAGGGTGTGGGTCTCTCCTACCCACTTGAGGTATATATACCACCCTTGCTGCCACCCAAATGGGTGGTATATAGTTCCACGCCATACTAGCTCTATACAATTTTGTGAGAATAGGTAAAATTATGTTCAGTCCGTTTTAAAAAAGAGCTGGAAAAATAGCATCCTCCCTTAGGGGGTTGAATAAACAGTTGAATAATTTCATATATAGGAATTGATCTGTTTCTGGATTTTTCGTTTGCATTCATAATTACGTAGGGAATGAATTTATCGGTTTCCTTAGGACCTGACTGGATAATTGCTAATTACTTAGGAACAGTTGATCCGATTTCCAAAAGTGAAACAGTGTTGGTTGAAGAATTAAATTTATTACCTATCAAACGAGTTATGATAGAACTGGCTCTCTTTCTATTCGGAAAAAACGTTGGTCGCGTCTTCTCGGTGACGACAGATGCAACACTTTTTGCAAAAAAATACTTAAAATTATACCATTATCGGACCTTGATTTCTTGCGGAAAGAACTGTTCACTTCCACAGAGTATACGTTCTTACTTAAATCATTTTCATGAAACATTATGTAAGTCTAGCAAAATACATATAACTTCCTGTTTTTATATTGCTGAGCGATTTGTCTTGTTTCCGGGATGTATACTCGTATTATTTAAATTGTCGAATAGCTCAATTGTTCAAAGAACTATCATGAAAACTAAACGAAACCGAATTGAACTGAACTGATCCAATAATTTGTTTTAATGGTCCATCTTGGAACAGAATGAGACCAAACGTTATCGTTGGATGAGAAAGGTCAATGAAGAAAGAAGTTATTTAAAATATTCTCATCGGGTAGGTATTGACAGTACAGGCAAAATTAATATGATACATCGTTTAATAATTGCGCCTAGATGAATGATGACTACATGTAGGTTAGAGGTGAGTGGATACGGTTTATTTTCATTCATAGACAAGAAAACCAAAGAAATAGGTGATTTTTCCATTGAAACCGGAGGCGATTTGCTTTTGGACACCAAACAAGACAATATCGAACTGTGAAAAATCGGGAATTTCAATCAACCTTCAAAAGCACCTCCTGTTATCGATATCGAAAGTGTACCATTAGTACGTAGAACCTTCTTACTTCAAAGTTTGGTGTGAAAAATCAAATATAAGAAGTTTCTACGGTTTTTTCCCAATAAGTATATTGTAGAAGAAATATATGGAACTCAAATTATGAAATTTTAAAGTTTTGAAGTATCATAGTCGCAATTCATCGAGGTGGTGTGATAATTCTAGGAACAGTTCCTTCTGCCCACAAGCTCATTATATCCCAGTTTGAGAAACTTCAATCAAAGCACTCGCAGAAGTGATCAAGGAACTACAGTCGGTAGATTGATCTGACAGAATGGTGAACAGAGTTTCCTTGGAAAGTCAAATCCAAGTTTCTCCTCGATTCATAGGTCATGTTCAGCAAAGGTGCTCAGAAAATGCTACCACAGATAGCCTTGGAAAAAATGGGCGCCAAAGAATCGATAGTTTTATATTTTGGCTTCACAGGGTACAGGCTCTACTACCAGGGCCTGAATTTCCTAATGAAGGAAAATCCCCTCCAAGGTTTCAGACCATGGTACATTTTCCCAAGTGAAAACCTCCTAGGTTTGTTCGAGAGTTGGAGAACTGAGCAGCTCCCGTTCTTAACACCCAATGAATGAACAAATTGAGCTACGTATTTCTGCCTCACTCACCATACTCCACAGAACTCTCGTTAACTGACTACTATCTATTCAAGCATTTTGATAACTTTTTCACCTTCATTGATTGTTATGAAGGAACTAGCTTCTCTCAAACTCACGATAGTAAACGGTCTGATTCAATCTATGAAATTGTAATTGTGTTGTTAATTTGTTTATAATTTTTCAGCGAGTCCTGAAGTAGGAAATAAACATTTCCGAAAGCTTGAAGTAATACCAAAAAGTTTTTGTTACTCCCTGGCATCCTCAAAATTGACTGCAAAAACAGAATATATNCACATTTTAAACTAATAACAAAAATTTTAAATAATTATAATTGCACCAATATGGAATTTCAACAGTCGAATGGCGATCAGTTCCTAAACTGAACATTGACGACACAACGGCGATACTCATCCCCACATTCTATTCGTCACCGTAACATGACTTCGAATTTAATTTAATGACCCTTCAGCCGAAGATAAAACTTGTTTAGTAAAATTATACAATAGGAATCGCCAATTCTTCAGTCCACGTGGTTTAGTTGGCAGTGTCATTATTTCTCTGTGTTGGTTTTTCGGCCTTCGAGATGCCGATAGCTTTAACTATTCACAATACAGGTTACTTCAACTATACTTTTCATAAGAAATTTAGGTACTAAATGAGTGTAAACAAGTGATTTTACATTTTAATTTTTGTAAAAAAAACTATATAAATACGTTGGCACTACAATCAACAATCATTTCAATTATACATCACTATACACTATACAGGTTTTCACCACCTCATTATAAGTACCTTTATTAATTCAAAAATTTAAGTACTTGCATAAATCTAATAATACTTGAGTGAATTTTATAAAAAACATAAATTAGGAATATACAGTAAAATCATAAAAAATCGTTTCAATGTCAATGACTAAAAAACAAGAATTGCAATATATTCAATACGTTAAAAAGAACGACAGAAAAATAAAGGAAAAACCAAGCAAAAACGAGAAAAAATAATATTTGGTACTAATTGGGATTTGCTTTAGGGAAGTAAAAGTTATTAAAACTAGTTAAATACATCAAAACGTTTCCAGTACCAGTTTCCAGTAACAACGGCGTACTGATAGCACATTTCATAGCTACTCGCATAATCGACACACAATCGTCTTAGTTTTTCTATGCGCAAGCAATAAATCTGAAAATAATAAAGTAATATTCTTTCAGGCAGCCAGACAGCACTTGGAACCTCAATGAACGCGAGAGTGGTATTAGAACTGAACTGAAAATGCCTGTGAAGAACCGAAAAAGCGGAGAAGACCGATAGATTGACTCTGTACTATGAGCCAGAACATTCAGGAAGTACCAAGATCAGATCAGAAAATGGATCAATGATGGGAAAGTACCCCCGGAAACATGAAAACGTTTGTTGAAGGTGGACCATGGACCAATCTTTGCCAAGATTGAAAGCACGTGCTTGAAGATCCGCCAAGACATGGAGAATATCCACAACAGGAAGTGGGGAAAGTTAGTGAGAAAACAATGCTCAAATACAGATTGGAAACAGGACAACTATGAAGCCCCCAACGTCATCAACATGAGTTCCCGCCCGCTCACGGGAATAGAGGAATCCTTGGCCTAAATTTGGCCTAAATTTCGCCATTACGCCAACATCTGTGCCCACTTTGGAGATAATTACTGCAGTAGAATCCACCAGTTCCCTTATTGACCAAACCGAGGCAGAAGAGTTCAGATGGAAAATTAGAGAACAGCTGGATCGAGAACCAGTTCCAACATCTAACATCAGCAATGGAGAACATAGAGCTCTGAACGGCCTACGTAGAGACAACACCATCAAGATCCTACCTGCAGATAAAGGAAACGCTACTGTGGTAATGGATACCGTTCTCTATGAAATCGAAGAGGTTCTTCAGAAAGGATGATACACAAAGATCGTACGGGACCCTACTGCAGGAAGGAAATTGTAACAGTTTTTGAAAAAACACCAAGTCTATTTTTCGGACAAGGAAAGATCATTGCTAACACCGCACCACAGTGAGCCCCCTCACTTGCATGGACTACCCAAAATCCACAAGAAGGACGTTCCGCTTAGACCGATCATCAGCTCCAGAGATTCGGCTACTCAAAACTTGTCTTAATACCACCATTACAAGGAAAAACATCGTCTTTTGTGAAGAATTCAACGCATTTTGTCGAACTACTAGGGTCAATTGAGGTCACGCAGAAAGATCAACTAATTAGTTTCGACGTGGAAAGCCTTTACACCAACGTTCCGGTCGAAGAATCACTCCAAATCATACAGAAGAAGCTATCCGAAGATGGGGTCCTGAAAGAGAAAATGAACTTACCTATAAAAGTAATTATGGAATTACTAGGATGCTGTGTACGAAACTGTTATTTTCAACTGAAGAACGAATTCTTTACACAACAACAGCGTGAGACCTTCCATCACTTTCACAATGGAGAAGGAAATCCACAATGAATTGCCATTCTTAGACGTTTTGATGAAGAGGACCGACACTAAGTGGGAAACATCTGTATACCATGTGGTAGATATTGTTTAAAATTCAAATAAAAAATGTTATCAACAAAAAATATGTTCCTAAATGCGGAATAGCAGTGAAAGAAAAACAAGCATATTGTTGAAGACACCCACAATCCACCAGAAAAAACTTTCAACTGACTTATAACGATATTATGATATGCACTAATATTTACATCAAAAATAATGAATATGAGCACAGAGCTTCTGAAAACTTTCAAGTAAACATTGTGACTACCAATAATTACAATTGACAAATGATATCGACCAGCAATATCGCCATTATTCACAATTTTTAAGCGTATGTAAAACTTTTCGGAAGAATTCCAGGGATGACAGTATTTCTCATTGATTTCTCTTCCTGAAAAAATTGCACTAAAAGCACCATTTCATCATACCGGCAATAAATTCGATTTATTCTTCAAGGTGCCATTTGTTAACGGTTTCTGTTCTTCTGGCGCGGTAACCATAACGGGAATGGGACTCGATATCTTCATCTCAATATGACCGTCATCAATCGATAAGGAATCCATACTGCAGAGACTATCAGTGGAATGGGTGCGATTGGACGGGAAGATCCCTCCCATGCGACACTGACCTGCAACAAAATTATTACATGAACGCCAAAAAGAACTCGACATAAACTCGCAATTTTTATTCATTACCTATTGAACGGTTACACAATTATTTTGAAACTGTATACGTTACAATGACCTCTTTCTTGTATTTTACATATGAAAGTTTCCCATGCTATATTTATGAACTGAAGATGGAATAGAAAACATGATAAAGGTATTTTCAAAACACAATTTTGACTACTGTGTATCTGAACGTTGACCTTTTTAGCATTTTTCAATTTTTTTGTATCGAGTACCTCATTAGGAAGAGATTTCGGTATTAATAATGAAACTAATCGGCACGAGTATTGCAGTTTGATTGCCAATATCACATTCAACAGAAACTTCAAATCAAATCCAATCAAAATATACTTTATTGTCAGAAGATTTTGTATCCCATCGACAAAAATTTGTGGGTATAAATATAAGCATAACTAATGGTGTATAATTAAAAACTTGCAATTAATAAAGGTTTTGAAAAAACAGGTACAAATACAATAAAAATAAATATAAAATGGAATACACGTTTTAAAATGATACATTAAAATACTCTTGCAAGCTACACACATCGGAAAAGTCTAGGGATATTTTTAAAAATGGCAATCATTTTTTTTAGATCGCTTTAGGAAAAAAAAGTTGAAGGGTGATTATTAAACGAATGTAACTTACAACAAAATTTATTGAATGGTCAAAAATACTGAGTGCGCATATAAGCAAAACTAAAAAAAAAAAAATATGGCTCTTCTTTGGCACCCCGAAAAAAATCCTAATACAAAAAAAATTTGAATCAGTACAAAGCATGGCCTCCACGCTGGTTTATTACGGCCCTACATCTATCGTGCATCGACAAAATGAGATTGTCAATGTCTTGTCGAGGTACATTTGCCCATTCAGCGATTAAAAGCTCTCTCGATTGAAGTGTTGTGTGAATATTCCCCATATGCGGAGTAATTCTTCGTTAAAGCATGGCCCATACATGCTCGATGGGATTCAGGTCCGGTGATTGTGCTGGCCATGGCAATACATCTACTCCTTCGTTGGTGAGCCAGTCAGTCACTAGACGCGCGACATGTGGACGAGCATTATCGTGCATTAGGTGGAAGTTTTCACCGACAGCACCAGCAAACGGACGAACGATAGGTAGAAGAATGGTGTCGAGGTACTGTCGAGCTGTGAGGGAGCGATTTGGAAAAACTAGATCGGTTCTGCCGCCGATCATGATTCCGCCCCATAGCATTACTGTACCACCTCTGTATGTGTGGACTTCCTGGACGTGTCTCAAATGTTCATTATTTCCAGGTCGTCTTCACAGTCTTACCCGACGAGAATCTGGATGAAATCCAAATCTGGATTCGTCTGTAAACAAAACTGTGGCCCAATCATTTGCATCCCAGTTTTGATGTTCTTGACACCACTCTAATCTTCTACCGCGATTGCCTCTCGACAAAGGTGGACATCTAAGTGGCCTTCTGTTGTGGAGATCTGCTTCATGCAGTCGATTTCTGACAGTATCACGACCAATGGTTACCTGGTGCGTCTGCTGCAACACGTTAACCAACTCAGGTGCTGTGAGTGTCGGTTGTCTTCTTGCGGTTAAAACCAAAAATCGGTCTTGAACTGCAGTTGTAGCGCGTCCTCGTCCTGGATGTTGTTCGGCTGGACTGCCAGTTTCACGGAAACGCCGCCACAATAGACTGATAACACTTTGGGAGACCCCCAAACGAAGAGCTACATCATTTTGTCGCATGCCAGCTTGAAGAAGCCCTACAGCTCTATTCATCTCAGCCAATGGTAAGTGATAGCGTTCCATGTTAAAGCACAATATTTCCAGTTTAATTGCTGAGCAAGAACTGCATAGAATGTACAAACTCGACACTTTCAGATTATTCATTTTAACCGAAAACCTACAGTTTGTAAAAAACTTGATAAAAGATTAGTTACCGTTTTGCAGGCTTTGTTCAACCCATAGAAATCTACAGGGTGGTCGAGTGTACCAATTTAATCGAAATTAAACGAGCTCATGCATTTATTTTTATGATATTTAGTATGTTATAAAAATATCCCTAGACTTTTCCGATGTGTGTATAATAGGGTCGATCAGCTAGCAAATTTCTAACTGCTTTCTTAAATTGTACGTTGGTCAGATTTGGACACCTTATATCTACTGGTAAGTGATTGAATATTTTCCACCATTATAAAATATGGAATCCTTGATTAATGTTGAGGTAGGTATAGAAAGTCTAATATCAAATATGCTAATACGAGTAGTATAAGGAGAAGAAACAAAGTCAATCTCCGTTTTATGTTTGTGCACCAAACATACAGTTTCAAGAATGAACAGTGCAACGACGGTTAAAATCTTGGTGGCCGCAAAATAATTTCTGCATGATTCCCTAGGTTTAACTTTACAGAGACACTTTACTGACCTTTTCTGTAATATCAACACAAATGAGGGAAGGGTTGCACTGCATGTTCCCCAGAATGGTATTCCATATCTTATTTGGGATTCAATTACAGCGTAGTAAATCGTTTTTGTTGTGTGAAAACCCAACTCGTTAGAAACCACCCTCACTGCATAACATCTGGAGGAGATTTTACTCTTAAGTTGTCTGACGTGTTAATTGAATTTGAGCCTATTATCAATATAGACACCAAGAAATTTTGTGTTCAATTTGTTTTCCAACATATCACTGTCTATTGACAGTTCATTTAGCAGACATTTAAATGTTATTATATATGTTTTGGAGATATTCAAGGATGATAAATTAGCATCATACCAATTTTTCATTTTTTTTTTTCTATATCCGATGATATCTTTTCATGTAGCTCTGCTGGGTTTTTTCCTTCCACAATATTATTGAATCATCCGCGAATAGAGTAAAGCTGCCAGATATATCTATATAGTCAAATCATATACAACAAATATACAAATATACAACAAAAACAGAACTGGACCCAACACAGAACTCTGTGGCACACCAGATGTGATTGCCCCGCTTTCTGAGAGTTCCGATGTTCTAACCATTTGACTTCGGCCTGAGAGGTACCAATTGTACGTCATCCCTTCTGCAGCCATACTGGTGAAGTTTTTTGAGTAATAATTCATGATTAACACAATCAAAAGCCTTAGAAAGGCCACAAAAAATTGCGGCAGCTACTTCATCAGCATTTATTTCTGAATAAAGTTTATAAAGGAAAGAGAATATTGCATCACTCGTATCTTTTTCCGCCTGGAACCCAAAAAAGTTATTATCTAGTTATATCATGCAAATTCAAGAAATCATTCAATCGTTTATTCACTAATTTTTCAATAATTTTCGGTAAGGTTGGAATCAGAGAAATGGGCCGCAGATTGGAGGGATTATGCAAATCACCACCTTTATGTAGGGGAATAACAATTTAAGTCTTAAAAGAAGTAGGGAATGAGCCAGTTTCGAAGGAGGCATTAATGTTTGCAATGCATTGCCTGGTAGATTCAAAAGTATTCTTACCGAAATCTCATCATACCCAGCGGTATTTTTATTTCTGATGTCGTTCAAGGTTTCAATTAATTCATGAATATCTGTATTATACAAAATGAGGCTATCATCGATATTAATATTTTCTAGATTGATTAAAGGATCCTAGGGCACGCGAATAATGCTGCTTAGCTTTTGAGCAATGGTGCAGTAGAATTCATTTCTTTTGTTAGGATTTAATGGGATATCAACCTTTGTTTTTTTTTATTTTCCTCTGAGGTCATTTATTCATAGATCATATCAGTATGTGTTAACTGATGATATTTTGAGGATGTGGGATCGCAACCGATGAATACGTTAGAATAATTTCAATACTTTTAATGGTATAGGCAGATACTAGTGCCGATTACTATAACTAGATCTCTTGGTTCAAGTGAATTCCTCTCTCTTAATTTGTTCTGTATTCCCAAACCCAGCAATTTCAAGTCGACGCGTTTGAAAGTACCTGACTTGCTTTCTCAATCAAGTTTCCTGTCGAAAGCACCTGATATTAGTAGAAATAGTAGAAATTTTTAGGAATGAATGTAAAAAAATCAAAATGGTATACGGACACAGATGCAGAAAAATAATAATGTTGATGAGAATAGTCTGATGAAAAAATAACCTTTTTTATCAAAACTTCATGTCAACGCGTACATTGCGTCATCAAACTGAAGGTTTGGCGCCCTCAAAAGTGACTTGAAAAAAATATTAATAAAAAATCCCAGAATCAATAAAAAATTGGTGATGTCAATACAAAGAAACACAAAAAAATAAATGGATAATTCATTTTTGCAGTTTCAAACAGTTCTAATTTTTCAACAATCCGGGTGGAGATTCTGTCTGTTGAATCTGATGATGTTCAGTTCAATTTTTTCTTTGACAGCGATTCCAAAAGGAATAAGGTTTCGGTTTCTTGAGTTTTTCTTGTTTCATTACAAAATAGTCACAACCAAGAAGTGAAGGGTCTTCTTATTTTTTACAATATTGCCTATAAAATGAATTCAAAAGGCGCTAAAATATTTGCTTCAAGCGGGTGCCGATCGTCCTTGCAGAGGCCTGAGTAAGAATATCAAAGATTAGAAAACACAATCACTGTTTATCTATGACATATTCCAGTAATGATACCAAAAATGGGGCCACTAGTATGACACTAATGTGACATTTGCGTAGTCAAACTAGAAAGTATATATTCGATTTCTAGGCTCCTCAAGTCAGACTCAATTATCAGCCTATTAGAGAAGTTATTCCATAAACTACACCTCACGATTTGATTTCCACAAACTTCATTTAAAAAATACATATCACAACATGTTTTGTCAACATAGTAGCTTTATCAAGTGATTTGAATACTTCAAATTGCTTCTTACACTAATATTTATATACTACAGGTAACCATAATTGAGACTACTTTCAAAAAATTACCTAAACCTCTACCTAAGGTACCTCTTCGATTATGATCACCTGAAGCATATTGCCATCAC